CGGTGGTGGAGATGATATTGGTGGTGGTGGTGACAGCAACGGTGGTGGTGACTTCCCCAGTCCAGCCCTCGCCTGCTCGCCCGGCCCGCCATGGGTGGGTTGTCACAGAGTTGTAGAAGGGACCTTTACAGGCCATCCAGTCCATCCCCCCTGCAGTGGGCAGGGACATCCACAACCAGATCAGGGTGCTCAGAGCCCCATCCAGCCTGGCCTTGAATGTTTCCAGGGATGGGGCATCTACCACCTCTCTGGGCAACCCATTCCAGTGTTTCATCACCCTCATTGTAAAAAATTTCTTCCTTATATCTAGCCTGAATCTACCCTCTTTTAGTTTAAAACCATTACCCCTTGTCCTGTCGCATCAGACCCTGCTAAAAAGTCTGTCCCCATCTTATCAGCCCCCTTTAAGCATTGAAAGGCCACAGTAAGGTCTTGTCTTCTCCAGGCTGAACAACCCCAGCTCTCTCAGCCTTTCCTCATAGCAGAGGTGTTCCGTCCCTCTGATCATTTCTGTGGCCCATTTTGTCCCCTTAGGAGGTGGCAGTTCGTCACAGGGAAGGTTGAAGGCCTCTGCGGTGGCATCTCCTGAAGATGACGGGATCAGTGATGCCCGCTGCTGTAGTTCTAGAATGATGGTGTAAGGAGATCCTGCAGACACAGGGCTGCGTAAGGAGGCGGTGCCGAACCCAGGCACTGCGTCAGCAGCCAGCCGCGGGGTGCCCGGCAGGCCCCAGGCTCCTGCCTGTTACCCGCGGTGCTGACCACCTGAGCAGCTACTCTGCCAGCACCCCCAAAGCCTGGCTCTCGATGCGCCCAGCCTCGTCTAGCGTCATAAAAACACAGTTAAATGCAAGTTCACCCTCTGGGTTCTGCAAGGGTGTGGAAATTGGCCTAGCAGAGATGGTTAACTGTGTGTCCTGTACATCAGGTCAGAGTTTAGCACCAACAGCTGTCTACAGAGGACGACTCACCTGCTAGGCTTCTTTTTTAAGATGCCGGTTCTTCAGGACACACTGGACACTAGTGTGTTGATAGTAGGAATAACTGGATTTCTTGTTTATTTAGCTGGCCTCGCTGGAGCCAGCAGATCTTCTTTTTCACGAGGTATGCCCTCTTTACAGTTGGAAAGAATATAGGACCCAGTGGCTTCCCAAGCGCTGAGGGTTTAAGAATAGTTGCTAGCCATGCCTGACGGGCAGAATGATGGTCCAAGTTTTTGGACCATCAAAGTTCAGTGATGGTTCAGTGACGGTTCCAGTTGTCTTTCATCGGTGTGTTAAGTGTAACAAATAAAAAATATGGAATCAATTAAAGATATGGAAAGAGGCAGGTCCTCTGTACATGGGTAAAATTCATCTGGGATGTGGTTTTCCCTTCTGATCTTTGCTCAGTTCTAGCTGGGATGCAAGGAGTTTGGATAGCTGAGCCTGCTGAGCAATGTGCCTTTGGACAAGGTACTCGACTGTCTTGGTGATGGCCACATTGTTAGTGACACTGTTGGAAGTGACAGAAGAGCCCAATATTTTTCTCTTAATACTGACTGGCTTGGGATCAGCCCAGTCCTGCCTCGCAGGCTTCACTGCTTGACCACCATATACGTGTCCTCGGTACGCAGAATTGTACATATTCAGTTTCCATTGCTGTTTTGTCTCAGTCGTGTTCTGAAACAGCTTTTGGTTTTAGTCTCACGTGCTAAAATGGTTTGGATTCTTCTGTCAGATTTTTTAAGACATGATTTATTTCCCTTTCTTCATTTTTTTTCCTGACCCAGCGGACCTGCACTATAAGTTTTGAGTTTCAGAGAAAACAATCCTAATATATTGTCAGCATTTTATGGGTTCCTCTGCAGAAACATTTGATTTGTTCCAGGAAATCACATGCAGACATAACACTTCCCTTCATGGCAACGGTGTACGAGTTTTGAATTGACACAGGCAATTTGTCTGTATCCCTGGACCGCTAAGCAATACCTTCGGCAGCTCTAAATACGGGCTAGAACTCATTCCCTGGGAAATTTTCTTTCTTGTTGAATCACTTTGAGATTTATCAACAGGACTGCGGATCTGAGATAAAATGACCCATCTTTGTAAGAAATCTCTTTCTGGAATTGACCTGTGGGAAACAAATATAATTCATCCTTGCTTGTGCTACATCACTGCTTTATTTGAAAAGATATCTTTCTGTATTAAAATTTTTTCTCTGAGTCTTACCCATATTCTCAGTGTCTGGGCAGAGTTCACATTCCCTTGTGCTATGTCTGCTTGTTTTCTTTCCTGAAAGAACCTCTTAAGCATTTTTTTTATCCCGTGTTTTTCCTTTCCTCATGGGTATGTCTCCTTTGCTACGTCCTGCAGCATCTTTTTATTACTTTTTTTTTTTTCATATTCATAATATCATGTGGTGATGCCCTACTTTCTTCCAGGCTTCTTTCAGACAGCAAAGACCAACTTCTGAGATGGTAAAACTTGCTGCAGCTTTGCTAAAACCAGTGGAAGCAATATGACCGTGCACTAGTTGAGAAATTGGCCCTAAGCTTGTTTCTCTTGAAGTTACCTGCTTAGAATAAAGGCTAGACGCCCCTTTATGTTCGTGTCGCTTTACAGTCATATCGCTTTACGTTTCCTTTTAGAATCCTAAAAAGGGTTAGGCCTCTGCGTGCTTTGATTAATGCCTGAAATTTTGTGCTTAACAGTTATTTCTGGAAAGAAGTGCTCATGTGTCTTTGTAAGATTAATGACATCGTTATTTTTATCTCATACCTTAGCAAGGAGCAGAATCTGAAAGCACTCACAGCATCACTACTCATTACATAAATAAATAATTTCACCTGTTCTTTCATGCTTTCTGTATTAAACTCTGTGACGTTCTGGAATCTGACAACGTGCTTGTCTCACAAAGGCTGTTTCATGGGCCTCTTGGGCAGGAAACTGAGGATACTTGGACATTTTATTTTTCTCCCTACTTAAACTAGATCAAAAAAATGAGCTGGCTGCCGGTACAGTCTCAGAAGGCAGTGGTAAGGGATCACAGAGCAAGACCTGTATTATGCCTAAAGTTGCTCTCCTTCTGCTTTACTGGAGACTTTTTGGAATTTATTCACCTTCAAGAGTTTCTCCTGTTGATACAGAGAATAGAAACCTCCCCAGTCATAAGCTAAGCCTTAATCTCCTGTGTCTCTGCAAAAGGATTTAGTGACATGCGTTGTTTGATTCCTGATGCCGACCTTGTGTACAAGAGTTCAAATAATCTTTTGACATCAGCAGCAGTTTATCAGACTGAGTTCTTTCCTTTATCAGCGGTCTCCAGTGTAGTTGTGTGAATTCTCAGGAATCTGCAGCGAAGCCCGCAGATCGCGTGGTGCCTTCTCGGAGGTCAGCGTACCTCGGTAATAAATGGAGTATGCTGAGTTCTGTAGCGTAGTGTTGTGAAATTGCCCGAGTCCCAGTGCAGGATCTCATTAAAAGCTAAAAGGAGAAGGACGGGGAGTGATTACATGGTACAATAAGCAGTACGCAAAACGTACAGACTCTGAACAAGACAAACCCTAGCTGGAACACTTCAGGCGTGTAAAACAAAGGGGTAAAACAGAATGTGTTGGTGATTAGTATATAACAATGTGAGTCATCCACAGTGAGCAGAACCTAAAAACTCGGCTGTTTTTACATAATCTGAGGGTGAGAAACTATAGCTGGAGTCTGAGCACGGAAATTAAACCCTAAAATATCCTAAGAAAGCTCTATCTTTGTGTAGCTAATAATATCATAGTGGGTATATGACAAATGTTAATTGAAGTTTTTTTGTTTAGTTGCCAACATTTCTCTAGCTGCTTTTTTTACCGGAACAAAACAGAAAGAACAATTATATGTAGGCTGCAGTCTTCAAGTGTCTATAAATTCATGTAACAACTATCAGGTAATTAGTTAATTGACATCCCACATGCAGCTGTGGGTACTGTGTCACTGTCAATGAACCTCTGTCCTGACACAAAGACAGCGTCTTTGTCTCGGTTTCGACTTCATTCATCGCCATCGTTCTGCATATTTATGTA